TGTGTGTGTGTGTGTGTGTGTGTGTGTGTGTGTGTGTACTGTAGTAACAAAAACTGGAATGCAAAAACTGTATAATTTGTATTTTAGGAAGCAAAAGTGAGAAAGGCTCCACAACCCAAAAATAAAGTGCTGTAAACGCTCCAGCCTAAAGACGCAGCTCTGGTGAGTGTCTGTTTTCCCTTTTCTAATTATAGTTGTTGGTGTCTGATAGCTTTGCACTCATTCCCAAAACAATTACTGGGTCATGGGGATCTAAATGGGAATGTTGTAATAGCATTACTACTAGACAAGATCGGTCATTTGGCCAGAGAAAACCAGGTTGTGGCAGGTTACTCCCACTTGCCAAGGTTTTTTTCTCTGCTGCCTAATTCATGCCAAAGGAGCTTCTCTCTGCCTGTGTCTCCTGCCTAATAGAGCAAGAGCATCCAAGAGACAAGGGGACCTTAACAACCCTGTGAAAAGGCAAATGAGGAAGCAGAGATGGTTTTCTAGAGTTAGGAGAGCATATTTAATCACTGATTAGAAGAGAAACTGTTCCCACCAGGCATGGTGGTCAATTTGGGGGCAAACTGCCTCCTTTCTTCCTCTGCACCATTTCGTATTATTCGAGATGAACAAATGCCTCTGCAAGTTTGCTTATGAAACTGAGGGACAGGTCCTAACTGACAGCAGGCTTGGAAGCTGGCTACTTGAATAGAATAACATTTATACAGATGACATATATCTTAGTCTAAACAGGAAGCATACTCATAGCAATACATTCTACACCAACACAAATCCTCACCACTCTACACAGGTTAGCACTTTAATCAGACCTGGGTTCCAGTCCCAGTTTGCCATTTAACAACTGTGGCTTTGGGCAAGTTCATTTAAATTGTCTGACTCAGTTTCTTCATGCATAGCATGGGGGAAAGGATATTAGCTAACTCATAATTGTTGCGAGGATTCAATTAAATACTGAATAAAGCTTCTAGCCCAATACCTGGCATTCATTCATATGTTGGGGTGTCTACTGTGTGAAAACACTGTTACATATGAATACACAAAGATAAGCTCAATTAATGTTAGCTGCAATTAGTGGCAAATTATACCAGATAAAACATACTTTAGAAGTTGGTAAAGGAAACCAGTTAATGCAGTGGTTCTCAACCTTCCTAATGCCGAGACCCTTTAATACAGTTCCTCATATTGTGGTGACCCCCAATTTCATTGTTACAAATTAAACATAATTAAAGCATAGTGATTAATCACAAAAACAATATGTAATTATATATGTGTTTTCCGATGGTCTTAGGCGACCCCTATGAAAGGGTTGCGACCCACAGGTTGAGAACCGCTGAGTTAATGGCTCCACAGAGAAAGCTGTTAAATTGTGAATAAAACTTAAAAGTAGGCAAAGGCAATGTCTTATGCTTCTTTTGTACCTCACCGTGCCCAATACACAGTTCAGGGCCACAAAGAAAATATTTTTTTAATGATTAATCTGAAAACAGAACAGTAGGGAAAATGGTAGTACTTTTCACTCATTTATAGGAATTTTCCTTTTTGATATATTAGTCAGTACTCCTATTTTTAATAAGTTCCAAGAGCTATTTAAATTCTTTACTTATATGGAGCTTTTGTCTTTTAATATTATTCTAAAGTAAATGATCCATTGGCTGGATTTTTTAGTAACAAAAAAAGACTATTTTCTACTAAGATTTTACTCTACCTTAAGACTTAAAGATACCTTTTTTTAGAAGGAGCTATATAAATCCAAAATATTTGAAAGAATAAATACTGTCCATTTTAGACCAAGTGTCACAGTACATTATTTTGTGAAAACATAAAAGAAAATGGTTTCAAGAATTTTCTCTCTCCTACTGGACAAAATTTGGCAGGACATTGATACTTGAAAAGTAAGTGAAAAACAAAACTAAAAAAGAACTCATAGCTCTTATCAGGTCTCAAGATAGGCACATAAAACCATTCCTCTATTTTCAATTTTTGGTGCTATTTTGTTTTTGGTGTTTTATTTACAAAGACTACAGAGCTAGATTTTGTTCTCATTTTAACCTTATGAGAATCCTATCCCTATTTTTTGTAATCACTGATGATTTGTTTTATTCCTACCATCTTATTTTAGGTTTTCTATATAAATTTTGTTATTTTTCTTTTATTACTTTTGCTAGATTTATACAATTTTTCTTGATCCTCTACTTCCCTACTCCCTATTGGGTGGATGTGTAAGTTCTACATGCTATTCTTACTAGTATCTAGCATTAATTTTATTTTAATCTGGCCTTACCGGCTTCAGCCTGGGAGCAAAAGCCAGTCAGATCCTAAGTAGGAATTCTCAATCCTTGGCTGCAAACTACAATCACCAGGGGAGTTAAAAACAAACAAACAAAAAAACAACCACCCTCAAACAACACACACACACACACACACACACACACTTGTGCCTGAGGAGTTCCATCCTTTGGGGTTTGAATCTTTTGTTTAACTGGTCTGGGCTGAAGCTTGGGCATCAGAATTTTAAAAGCTCCCCAGGTAATTCTAAATTCAGCCAAAGAACTACTCCGTTAGAGGTTTACTGGCCCAGCTGTTCCATATTGTTTTATAACAACCCTGAGGATTGCCCCATAGCCTGCTTCGGCTCCCTCACACCAGCTGCCTGTGGGCTTGGAGTTCTGCCCAAGCTTGTTGAGAAGAACGGCATGTACCTCTACAGAGGTCTTCTCTACACCTGTTTTGGGTTGAGTTTCCCAACCCTAGTTTCCATCAGTCCAGTTTCATCTAGTTTACATATTCCAGAATTTTCATAATTTCTGATTCACTTCTTGTATTCTTCCTGGATTCCAGCACTAACTAATGTGGATTTCTTCCTCTTTTTTTGCAATAATTCCTCCTCTCTCACTTCAGTGGGATTTGGAGAGGAAAAGGAGGTGAGAGGAAAGGGTACTCCAACAATCTGAATCCCGAAAACCACTCTTGAAATTTTCACATTTGAAAATTACTGCCCATTGTCTGCATTCTTTGCATGTGAATGTGGTTGAAAGCACTGTGAGGCACCAGGCAAGAGAGCCACATCCAGCCAGCACCTCCATGTACCAGCCACAAGCACTGAATTTAACAAAGCAGAAGATGGGAGAGACCAGGAGTTGGGAGAAGAGGAGCTGGTGGCTATTTAGAGCAGTGATTCCCAAAGTGGGCGCTGCCGCCCCCCGGTGGGCGCTGCAGCGATCCAGGGGGGCGGTGATGGCCACAGGTGCATTTGGGGGCGATGAGTAACTGCTATTAAAATTTTAAAAAAATTAATTTCCAGGGGCTGAGTAATATTTTTTCTGGAAAGGGGGCGGTAGGCCAAATAAGTTTGGGAACCACTGATTTAGAGCCTTAGGTCAGTCAGACTGGATTTTCTGTGAAAGCAAAGCTTAAAAGTAACAATGTAGTCACTACTGGCAATTAAACTAAAGTGCCATGAGTAACAGTCATCATAACAATGTCAATTAGAATACGTTAGAACACAGTGACTATTTTAAAATGGAAAAAGGACAGCATTGAATAAAAATTACAAGATGGTCATCTTAATTGAGGTAAGAAAAATCACACTGGAATAGTGATTGTTAATATACTGAAAATGATTTTCTACCATTCCTATAACTTTTATAAACATTTAGAATCTTATCAAAGAATGTTTAGGGCTAGTGGGACCATAGGAACCAAGAGGTCTACCTGCCTGAACACTGTATAGGAAGGAAGCTGAAGCTCAGAGAGGCAAGATCCAGAGAGAGCCAGCTGAAGCCAGAATCCTATCTCCTGACTCCTGGTCTAGGGATTTCTCCAACATACATCTGAGCTCTTCTTCATTTAGTCTAAATCTTATTGTGAATGATAACTATCTAAACACTTCAATTGCAATAGTACAATAATACTATTTTTACTATTTCCAATTTTAGAACAACTAATTTGGACTAATTTGCCAGACTCATAAAAATGAAATATGGGTTCAAAGTAATATTTGAAAATAAACTATTCTAGTTTACAGTTTTAAATGAACGCTTTATTTTCAAATGGAACTTTTATAATAGTTCATGTTGCCATCCTTGTTTAGTGATTTGATTTTTTTTTCTTAATGGAAGTAGTCCTGTTTTCTCACACTTCTTTTTGAAGTACTTCAGCTCAATAAATGGCATCTTTCCAACATTTATACATGCAAAATGCATTTTCTGAGTAAGGCTCTGTCGGTGATGCTGGAAACAGGATGAAGAAGCTTCTAGTCAAGCACTCACTGTGTACTGAGGAAATGGGCAAATGCTGGTTGCAATGTTAACTGATGAGCAGTACTCAGTGGTGTACACAATGTGCTCTGGGAGGAAGAATGACCAGTCATCCAAGACCTCAGTAGTATCCTCACTCTCAACTTGGCAAATGAAAAAATAGAATAGTCTCAGGTCACTCAATAAATGGCAAAGCAGACCTTGAACCCAGGTCTCCTGATGTAGAACAGAATGAACACTCTCATCCAATTCTGATCAAACTTAAATGATGAACTGTTTATCTTGATGACAGCCAGGGACATGGGTTGGAAAGGCCTGAAGGGCATTACAATCTATTGCTCTGTTTAGTAACTCCGTACCGGCAATTTAGAAAACTTCTTACTTTTCTTAGGATAATAAATCTTACCGTACAAGGTTATTGTGAGGAACATGTAAATAAACATATATGGCAACTAATACAGTTGTTAGCACACCAAGGAGTCCACAGAGTAAGAATTCCCTGACGGGTGGGATATTCTTTTGTTCATTTTGTGAGTCTGGAATAGTACCTGGTACATACATGTTAAGTAAATATTTACTAAATGGAAGCATTATTAAACAAATGTCAAATTTAAACTATTGTTGATATATATTCACTATATTTATTTCTATAAACAAAGTTTTAAAAAGAAATCTCCATTTCACCCACATAAATGGAACCCAACTGTTAAGGACTATTTTGCTCTCACATCTGCTTACTTTCTACTGTGGCTCCCTCGTTTGGGTTTGAATAGCCTTCTCCTTTCTGTTTGATTCTTCGGATAATGCCTCCATCTTCAAATAAATCCTCTCCTTTGAAATCAAGGAGCTCAATCTAGAAAGAAGAAAGAAATTTGGCTGAGAAAAGATCAAACAAAGCTAATTTAATATACTTAAAGGGAAGGGAAACCAATTGTTTCATTTTACAAAAATAAAACTGTTTATATTTATCTATGCATCTTAGTTATTGGAAGAGTGGGAAAACAAGAACATTGCACTTTTCAATACCTGGAAAGAACCTTCATGTAATGATAATGTCTGGGACCACATCCTGTGGGGAGCAGAGTAAAGACAGACAGGAAATACTAGGAAAAATGCCTGATGGGCAAAAAGCCAGAACTACAAAGTGCTGGCCGAAAACCATTTTGTCTGACTTGAGACACCACCACTTTTCCATCCCAGATTCATGGAATCCTCTTCCTAAAATGTAAGAATGAATCCTATGAAACCAGGCCTGTAACCACTTAAGGGTGTATTTTACCTAGTTACACTGTTTCAGACATTTATTTCCCCCCTCGATTTTAAAATCAAGTTTGGTCAAATGCGTGTAACTCAACACACAATCAATAACATGTTATCACCCCTACTGTGTCTAATGAGATGTTATATTTATAAACCTTATAATATGAAAATGCCTTAGAATTTGATTTAGGCCCTTGCTGGTGTGCTCATTGGTTAGAGCATCAGCCTGTGCCTTGAAGTGTCACAAGTTTGATTCCTAGTCAAGGGCACATACCTGGGTTGCAGGTTTGATCCCCGGCCCTGGTCAGGGCACATGTGCGGTGGCAACTAATCCATGTGTATTTCTGACATCGATGTGTCTCTCTTTCTCCCCCCCCCCCCCCCTTCCCTCCCCCCTTTTCCCTCTCTCTAAAAATCAATGGAAAAAAAATTGATTTTTAGAGAGAGTGAAATCCTTATCTTTGGGTAAGGATTAAACTAAATAAATACAAAAACCAAAAACTTGATTTAGGCATATGTCAACATTTGGAGAGGAAAAGGAGGTGAGAGGAAATTTCCCACATTTCCATCCTGTCTTCTGGTCAATTTTAGTATGTCATACACACACTACTGACCAGAACCTTTATTGCTAAGCCTGATCGCTTGTTTATTTGGATATGATCTTTTTGTGCCAGAGACACATTTCTAAGAAAGCACTGGCACACACCCCTTGGATTTGTGGGAAACAATTCAAAAAGTCAAGCTCCAAAAGAAATAAATTGGATCTCATTCTCAATCGCAAGCTCAGCTCCTCGTTCTACTGCCTGCTGCTTTAGAACCAGCACTATAGCAGAGCAGATGCTAACAAGGCAGCATCACACACATACTTGCCTCAAAAAAGAGAGTTGCATTCGAGGGAATTTTGGGGACACTGCCAGTGGAGCCATATGCATATTCTGGTTTGCACAGTAAATGACACACCTCTCCTTTCTTCATGGTAGCCACTCCAATGTCCCATGCCCTGATAACTTGGCCTAAGAGAAAGAAAAAAGTGAGGGTCTGAAACTGCAATTATGTGAGGTATTAAGTTGGTTTGCTGATGTGAGGCTTAGCACAAGTGACTCCATTTTGGACCAGTTGTCTCTCCTTTTTAACAAAAGCTATATATTTTTTTACATATTTTAAAAAAGTAACTGTCATTAACACAAAAGTTGAAACAAATTTCCAATTCTTTACACTACATACTCAGGTAGGAAGGGTAACAAAAGAACTCAGTAAAAGCTACACACTGAGAAATAAATTTATTTTAAAAAATTTTAGTTTTATTGACTTCAGAGAGAGAGGGAGGAAGAGATAGAAACATCAATGATGAGAGAGAATAATTGACTGGCTGCTTCCTGCATGACCCACACTGGGATTCAAGCCTGCAACCTGGGCATGTGACCTGACCAGGAATTGAACTGTGAAGGGGGAGAGAGAGAAAGAGAGAAGGGAGGGCGGGGAATATCCATGATGCGAGAATCATTGATTGGCTGCCTCCAGCACGTCCCACACTGGGGATGGAGCCCAAAACCCAGGGCATGTGCCCTGACCAGGAATTGAACTGTGATCTCCTGGTTCATGGGGTGACGCTCAACCACTGAGCCAGGCCGGCCGGGTGTGATTTTTATTTTTAAGGTTACCAGAAGATACCCTTATGAGGAGGACAAAAGTATCAATTTCCCAACTGCTCAAAGATTAAGTCTTTGAAAAGTAGCAGTAACATATTCTTTGAACTGTGTCAAGGTTGCAGTTGTTGCTTAATTTATAATTTCAACCATAATAATAAGTGAATATTTTCTAGGTAGAAATGAAACAGAAATAGTACAGAAAATTGAATTTGCCTTGGTCGGCTATTTCAGTTGGTTAAGAGTATTGTCCTGATATACCAAGACTGCAGGTTCCATTCCCAGATAGGGCACATATAAGACACAACCAATGAATGCATAAATAAGTGGAATAAAATGATATTTCTCTCAAAATCAACCAATGACATTTTTAAAAAGAAAATTGAATTTGTCCTAAGGAAGCTTATAATTTAGTCGGGTAGAGAAAAACAACACACAAAAACAACCAGAAAAAGCCCTAGCCGGTTTGGCTCACTGGATAGAGCGTCGGCCTGGGGACTGAAGGGTCCCAAGTCAAGGGCATGTACCTGGGTTGCGGGCACTTGGTTGCAGACACATCCCCAGTAGGCAGCTGATCGATGTTTCTCTCTCATCGATGTTTCTAACTCTCTATCCCTCTCCCTTCCTCTCTGTAAAAAATCAATAAAATATAAAAAACAACCAGAAAAGAATAAATTGCATAAAAGAGCCTATGGAACAGACATTTTCTTCAAATTTAGTATGAGGGGAAAAAACTGTGGGGTTTTTTTGTTTTGTTTTTTAAGAAAAACAAGATGGTATGTGTCCTTTTGTCAAATCACAATTACAAAATTCAGATTTTTTTTTTGCCTAATTCTAGGAAACTAAAAGATAATCTTACTGCTCAACTATAGATCTATACTAGGTTATAGAATCATATCTTAAAATAAGCAATCTCAAATCCTTTAGGAAACAATAGAAAAATGTAGGTAATTTAAAGGAATAAAATACAAAATTAAGGTGCTATGTCAATAAAAAAACTTAAATATCTGAAGTGGGGTCAGGTAAACAATGAACCCCAGAGGAAGTGAATTCTGAAGAGAGCTGATATCTTGAACTGAGAGCAGTGGTAGGGTATTAGAATAAGGGAAACTCTATACTAAGGTTCGTAAAAGGGAAGGGATAAAGCACTCGAGACTCATGACTTCAGCTTAGTTTTCAGTATGCATTGTAACTTTTCAAAATATCAGATACACTTATTTTAGTTAAAAATTTATATAATATATGCCTATTACTAAAACACACGTAAGAAATAGAGGTCACCCACTTCCACCTTGTAAGAAGCATTGTTATGTTTATTTTGTATCCTTCCACTGTGTGCTGTTGCTTTTTTGAAAATTAAAAACACAGATGACAGCATACTATACTTTCAGTTTTGAACTGCTTTTTTATTTAATATGTAATAGATGCTCCTCGACTTACGATGGGGTTACATATGGATAAACCCATTCAAAGCTGAAAATATGTCGAAATGTATGTAATGCACCTAACCTACAAAATATCACAGCCTAGACCAGCCCGTTTCTGCTGACTGTGTAATGCTTCCCTACACTGAAGAAAGTGTAAGGCAAACCTGGGTAAGGCAAGGACCACTGAATCTTGATCTTTCTCTTTCAACAGAAAGGAGGTATGTATTTCAGAGGTCCAAGTACAACCTGCTTGAGCCTCAGACTGCTTGGATCTCAATACCAAGTCTGCCCCTTACTTGTGCAAGTTATTTCATTTCTGTGCCTCATTTTCCTCATCTGCAAAATAATAATAGATGCTAATACCTGCCATAATAATAGTAATACCTGCCATAAAGCTATTACAAGAATTATCAAATATGTCAAATGCATGGCAAAGTGCATATAATATGTACTTAATAAAGGGTAACGTCATTACCACTGTCGTGAATACAAACAGACCAACCTTGTTCTCAGTGACTGCAGTACTCCAGTCACTCCCCTATTGGGAAACACAGGATCAGCAGTACTCTGATAAGGACATTTGTCCATATGTGTTTGCCTACTTTGTGCAAGTTTATTTGGAGAGTAAATGCCCAGAAGTACAAAGGTTATGTGTATTTTCAATTTGACAGATATTGCTCAACTGCCCTTCTAAAATGGCTACATCAATTTATACGTGCACACATGGTCCTACTGTGAAAACAGCCCAAACCATCAAAAGCAATGTAAAGGCTGCTGTAACAGGCTGCTTTCCTGTCACTGACGCTTTTCAAAGACTATTATGTCTTAGTGTGGGCCATTGAGAACACTTTTTTAAAACTATGAATTGGTATTTTAAGACAAATACCTTACACGGTCCTTCAGAAAACCTTTATATTGTGGGGGTTCTACTGTACATTTGTTCAAGACATTTAGCTAATTACTGAGGAGCAAAGGTCTCTCTAGGCACTAATACAAAGGTGGCCATTCCCTTCTTCCTTCTAAAGAACATGCAGTGTCGTGTGGCCAGTGGAAGAGAAAGATAATTGTACTGTTTTTTTTCATCTCATTTTAAAAACAAAGTGTGGTAAACACTGAAACAGTGTATAAACAAGGAGCATTTGCCTTGGGGTGAGGGTTGGTGTATCAGCAAAAGCTTAACTCATAGATGGTGTAAATGTTAGGCCTTAAGGCTGGAAACAACCTGTCAATTTAACCCACAGGGGCCCCAAGCTAAGTAAGTCATGCCTGTGCCTTTACTTTCCTTCTCATCTGAGAACATTACAACTTCTTGTACTGAATGAAACACGGAGGAAAGAACCAGAAGGATATGGACACAGGTATGCTTCTAAAATGGCCAACACTGGGACTCTTTTCATAAGAAGCATTTCCCTGATATAAAAAACACACACATACTCATTATAGAACTCATGGAAAGTATAAAAAAGCATAAAGAATACAATAAAAAACCTCTGAAATCTCAGCATCTAGGGTAAACTGTCAATTTCTTGGTTTATTTCCTTCAAATTATACAGGGTGGGGCAAGAGCGGGTTTGCAGTTTTGAGCATGCAAAACAAAGCCTATTCTTATATTATTATTACTTATTGCATTATTTCCATACAAACAATTATAAACCCACTTTTGCCCACCCTGTATATGTAGACTTTGCATAGTAAATATTTTTTTAAATGTCTTTATTGATTTGAGAGAGAAAGGGAGAGGGAGATAGAAACATCAATGATGAGAGAGAATCATTGATTGACTGCCTCCTGCATGCCCACACTGGGGATCAAGCCCATAACCCAGGCATGTGCCCTGACTGGGAACTGAACCGTGACCTCCTGGTTCATGGGTATATGCTCAACCACACAGAACCACACTGGCCAGGCAATACATTTTTACATTCTTAAAATCCTGGTCATAGTTTATTTGGTTTTGTAGTTTGCTCCTTTTATTTCATATTATATGAGCTGGTGTTACACAGTGGTTACAACGTGGCCAGCACACCAAAGGGACTCAGGTTCAATTCCCAGTCAAGGGGATATACCTGGGTTGCAGGTTAGATCCCCGGCCCCAGTCAGCGTGTGTGTATGAGGCAACCAATTGATGTGTCTCTCTCACATCAATTTTTTTCTCTCTCCCCCTCCCTTCAACTTTCTCTAAAAAACAACAACAATGGAAAAATATTGTCAGTTGAGGATTAACAAAAAACAAACAAAAATGATAACATAAAAAACACGACTTTTATTTTTTTTTTAATTTTATTTTTTTCCATCACCATTTATCCTCCTATATTCTCTTCCACCTCCACCCTCCCCAGTCACCACACTGTTACCCATGTCCATGAATTCTTTCTCTTTTATTTTCTCCTTTGTTGCTCAATCCCTCCATGTCCCCTGCCTCCCCACACCCTACCGCCCAGAGCTGTCAGCCTGTTCTTTATCTATGAGTATGTCTCTATTTTGATTGTTAGTTCATGAAAACATGATTTTTAATAACTATATACTATTTACCTTTTGGGTATACCATAATTTCATTACTCCCACTAATAAACATATAGGTTGTTTGTATTTATTTATTTTTTACTATTATAAAGTTTTAGTGAACCATTTTTGACCTAAATCTTCACATGACTTTTTTTGCATTGGTAAACATTCTTACCTGACACAATCAGGACTATGATGAGTAGGTTAATTAATTTTTAAAATAATGTTTTAATTTTTCAGTTATAGTTGTCATAGACTAGTCTCATGTGTACAACTTAGAGATTAGACATTTAAAATATATTTTTAATTGATTTCAAAGAGGAAGAGAGAGGGCAAGAGAGATAGAAACATCAATGATGAGAATCACTGATTGGCTGCCTCCTGCATGTCCCCCATTGGGGATCAAGCCCACAACCCCAACATGGGCCCTGACAGAGAATTGAACTGTGACCTCCTGGTTCATAGGTTGATGCTCAACCATTGAGCTACGCCAACCGGGCTGATTAAACATTTATATAAACTTAAAAAGTGACCCCCGATAAGTCTCGTACCTATCAGACACCATAGTTATTATATTATTAACTATATTCCTTATGCTATACTTTACATCCCTGAAACTGTTTTTATAGCTGGCAACCCTAATCCTAACTCTAACCTTGCCCCCTTTTCACCCATCTCCCCAAACCTGTCTTCCATCTGGCAACCATCAAAATGTTCTCTGTATCTAAGAGTTTGTTTCTCTCTTGTTTGTTCACTCATTTTGTTTTTAAAGTTCCACTTATATGTGTGAAATCATATGGCATTTGTCTTTCTCTTTTAACATAATACTTTCTAGGTCCATCCATGTTACAGATGGAAAGATTTCATTCTTTTTTTATGGCTGAGTAAAATTCCATTACATATATGTACCATCTCTTTATCCATTCATCTATCGATGGATATTTAGTTTGCTTCCATATCTTGGATATTTAAGTGAGGTTGCAATGAACATAGGGATGCATATGTCTTTTCAAATTGGTGTTTTGGGAAATACCCAGAAGTGGAATTAATTGCTGGGTTATTCTTTGTCTCTTGATATATAGCCTTTGTTTGTTTTAAAGTCTATTTTATCTGGTATAAGCATTGTTACCCCACATTTTTTGTTTTATTTTCATTTTCATAAAATATGTTTTTCCATCCCTTTACTTCCAGTATAAGTATGTCTTTTGGCCTGAAGTAAGTCTCTTGTAGGCAACATATAAATGGACCTTTTCTTTAAAAAATATTTTTAATGCTTTTTAGAAAGAGAGGCAAAGAGAGGGATAGAGAGAAACATCGTTGATCGGCTGCCTCTTGCACACCCCCTACTGGGGATTGAGCCCACAACTGGGCATGTGCCCTGACCAGGAATCGAACCAGCAACCTTTCAGTGGACAGGATGACGTCCCAAAAAACTGAGCCACACAGGCCAGGGTGCTATCTCCTCTTTTATGTTTCCTGTCTCTTTGTTAAAGTTCTCACTGAGTTCAATGAGCATCCTTATAATCAGTATTTTGAACTGCACATCTGGTGAATTGCTTCTCTCTCTCGTTCAGTTCTTTTTCTGGAGGTTTGTCCTGTTTTTTCACTTGAAACATGTTTCTTTGTCTCTTCATTTGACAGCCTCCCTGTATTTGTTTCCCTTTTGGGTGAGGTGCTATATCTCCTGGTCTTAGTAGCAGGTGCCACATGGGGTCCAGTGGTGCAGTCTCCTTAGTCACCTGAGCTGGGTACTCCAGGTATATCCTTGTGTGCCCTCCTATTGTAGTTGAGCCTTGATCACTGTTGCCCCATCAAGGAGGGATTGACCCTCAGGCTGACTGGCTGTGAGGACTGACCCTGACTATAGCAGAGGAGCTGCTGTGCAGGGGCTAACCCCACAGAGCAGCATTCGCTTTAGCAGGGCTCTGATGCTTGCTGAGTCAGCCCTTTGCTATGTCATTGTGGAGATGGTTGGGTTGTGCTCTGGTGTGGTATAAAGCTGGCAACTGGGTGTGCTGATTCTGGGACCTCTTAGGAGGTACAGTTCAAGGTCAGCCACTGCCTATGCCCTGGGGCACTTGTATGCGCTCCAGAGTTATCTGCAGATGGCTGCTACTTGTGCTGGGCTTGGAGGTGCCTGGGAGAGGCTAAGCTGTGAACTAAGGCCAGCTGCACTAGTGCCAGGCTTGGGTCTGCTTAGCAAGGAATACGGGGCACACAGAGGCCAGATACTGCTGTATGGGGTTTGTGAACCTTTGACAGGTTTTGGGAAAGCCTGCTAGTATGGAAAAACTACTGGAACCAGCTTGGGTGGGCCTGAATGTTGAGTGGGGTGGGGTCTCAGAGAATCACCAGGGCAGGGCAAACAGTATTAGGTATTTTGAGACTCAAGATATAGTGCCCCACTGTGCCTGCAGGGGGACTCTGCAAAGGAATAATGACTTCTGCCAGTACTTCTGTCTAGCAGAAAGCTGCCCCCCAGCTCTAGCCCTTGCCTCAAGGCCAGACGATTCAGTTCCTCCCTGTATGCCCCTGGCACCTTTCGCATTGCTGCCTCAATTCTGGAGCTCAGAGCAAGTGAGCCCAAGTAAGCCTGTGCACTGGTCTCCAGCAGCTTTTTGTTTCCCTCAGTCACAATCCTCGCTAGTTTTCACAGCCAGAAGTCACTAGGACTTCTCTCCCCAGCACTGAAACCCAGGGCGGAGACTCCTTGCTCCTCAGAGGGGACAACCTCCCCAGCTGAGAGTTCCCTCCTGATTTTTAACCGCCACATGTGGGTGTGGGCCAAGCTTGTTCAGTGTCTCCACCTCTCCTAGTCTCAACGTGGCTTCATTCTTTATATTCTCAGCTGTAAGATTTCTATTCAGCCAGGTTTCAGGTAGTTCTCAATGATGGTTGCTCTGTAGTTTTGTTGTAATTTTGATGTGGTTGAATGAGAAAGGGAGCATAGCGTTTACCTATGATGTCATCTTCACATCTGTATTATTATTTTTTTAAAATATATTTTTATTGATTTCAGGGAGGAAGGGAGAGGGAGAGAGAGATAGAAACATCAATGATGAGAGAGAATCATTGATCAGCCACCTCCTGCACACCCCCTAATGGGGATCAAGCCCACAACCAGGCATGTACCCTTGACCGGAATCGAACCCAGGACCCTTTGGTCCGCAGGCCGATGCTCTATCCACTAAGCCAAACCGGCTAGGGCTGTATTATTAATTAAATAAATTATTAGTGTATCATGCCACAAACACTTCTGTTTCCATTTAGTTGCAGAAAAAGTCATCAGAAGAAAGAAACACTAGCCGGCAGAGAAGGTTGGACCCACTCGACTCACAATCTCACTTTAGTGAGAAGGTAAGGTGTGATGCTCAAAAAGTCTGCTGATAGTCCTGGATCCTATTTCTTCTGCAAAGTGTTCCCTACATAGGAGACACAGCACTCCTACTCCATGGCTTCTAGGAAAGAAAATGCAAACTCACTAACCTGAGTCAGTATTAAAGCCTGTGTCTTGACATTCTTTGGGTACTGCCTGGTCTGCTTTTATATGTTCCACTTGATGCTTTTAAAGTGACAGTGAGCTTTTATACTCTCATGGATGATGTCAGGTATCTATCTAAAGACTTATAACTTGACCAGAAGTCAAAAGGGTAGGTTGATTTAAGACGTTGCTTTAAATAAAGAGTCATAAAAAAAGAACATACACATACCTCAAACATTTTTTAACTTAAAACATATTAAAGTACATTAATGCACTAACCTTGTGTTAGAAGGCCAAGGCCTTGTCTCTGAGTGTGGCTCCAATGATAAGAGTTCCACATCCTCTTTACTAGATAAATTACACATGGTATTCCATTTGTAATTTACAATGTGGGTTTCTTTGAAGTGGAATAAGAACCAGAAGACACATCAGCAATCAGTATGCAGAATCCTTCTGATAAAAAACATATTCTCAATGGCCTCTATTTCCCTTTTTACCTACCCCTAATTCAATAGCCATTTTTAAAAAATGCTGTTAGCAATTCACCTTACCAAAAGTCTTTCCAAACATGTTCAACTTAGTTTTCATAGAATTCATTTTTTATACTAACTTCAATGTTTTACATGCTATCTAATAAAATTATATAATTACATAAAGTACAATAGATATAAACAGGTTTCAACTGATTCTTATCAACAATCTGAGAAAGAAAAACCAGCCCTGAATATCTGGAAACTGCTTGACACAGCTAGGCCTCAGTGATGTCTGAAGCTGGCTTGGGGCACACAACAAGGCCATGTTATTCTCCTGCTGGACATAAACAATCTCACAAAATATCAACATCAGACAAGGTCACTCTGAGATCATGAGAAAGTGAGACAAAACAAGAAACACTTCAAAATTTTGTCTGAATATGGACAAAAACAAGGTCACTGTGCAACCTACAGAATACCAAACATCCCCCTCTTCTGGCTAACATGTGACTGCTACTCCCTGGCAGGTGTAGCTTTCATCTTCCGCTTGTCAGCCTTCCCAGATAAGATTTATTAAGATAAGCAAAGAATTGCCCCACAGTCTAATAATATCCAATCCAAAGTAAAGCCCCTCTTCCTCAAACCCTTCCCCAAATTACCTAATACAAACCCAAATCATGTAAGTCCTATGAATACTCTTACTGAGACACCCCAGCGTGTGCACGCTCCCTTCCTACAATGCATGATGAGCTCAGCTTGTTCAACTACAGCTGTGTTCCTAGTGGTCTGTTGCTGGAGGCACTGACCAGGCCGGTCAACTGGCTAAAGCAGAGTGTGGGACCACAGAACAGAAAACCAACAGTGTCACTTAGGATATTTACCAACAAATGAAGAGCATCAGTTAATCTGGAGCTTGTTAAGCAAGCTTCTACCACATTCCCTTAAGTTCATTTCCTAGAAGTAGAATTACTGGGCCAAAGCAGAACTTTTTAAGATTCTTTATCTTGGGGCTTCCAGTCAAGATGATGGAATAGGGAAATGTACGCAGTACTTGAATCCACCCACAACCACATCAAAATTATAACTAAACTACAGAACCACCATCATTCAGAACTACCTGAAATCTAGCTGAATAGAAGTTCTACAACTAAGGATATATAAAGGAAGTCACATCAAGACTGTTAGGAGGGGTGGAGACACTGAATGAGCTGATCCCACACCCACATGTGGTGGATAAAAATTAGAAGGGAAATCTTGTCTGCAGAGGTCCCCACTGAGGAGCAAGGAGTCCCAGCCCCACACCAGGCTCTCCAGCCCAAGGTTACAATGCGGGAAGAGAAGTCCCTATGACTTCTGACTGTGAAAACCAGTGGAAATTGTGGCTGAGGTACAATTAGGCTCAGGCACCAGAGTCCCGATGAAGTGAATCCTGGTCCGTGGTGTTGCCCCTGCACCGTGGGGTGGCCACTTCATGGTGGTGAAGGCCAGTCCTTGAAGTGATCAGCCTGGGGGTAAATCCCTCTTATTGATATGCCAATAGCAATTAAGGCTCAACTATAACAGGAGGGTGCACACAGTCCACATGTGGGGGAGGCACACCTAGAACACCCAGCTTAGGTGACCAGTGAGGCTCTACAGGACTCCTACTACATAAGGCTAGTCTACCAAGACCGAAAGACATAGCAGCTCTAGCTAATACACAGAAACAGACAGAGGCAGCCAAAATGAGGGGAAAAAAGAAAGATGTCCCAAATGAAAGAGCAGAACAAAACTCCAGGAAAATGGAGACAAGCAATCTACCAGATGCAGAATTCAAAACATTAGTTATAAGGATGCTCAATGAACTCAGTGAAAACTTTAACAAAGAGGTAGGAAACATAAAAAAAGTAGATTTAAAAAAGGGGGGAAGGACCATGTCTTTTTTTCACCTAGTTAATGTCCTCAAGTTTCAGAATTTCCGTTTTTAAAGGATGAATAATATTCCATTGCATGTATAAGACATTTTGTTTATCCACTACCTGTAGGTAAACACTTGTGTTGCTTCCACTTTTTGGTTATAATGAATAATGCTGCTATGAATGTGAGTGCATAAATACCTCTTTGAGACATTTTAGTTATTTTGGGTACATATCCAGAAGCGAAATTGCTGGGGTATATGGTAGTTCTGTTTTTAATTTTTTGAGGAACATTTTCCTTAGTGACTGCACCAGTTTACAGTGCACAAGGATTTCAATTTCTCCACAACCTTGTCAACATTTTTTAAAACATATTTTTATTGATTTCAAAGAGGAAGGGAGAGGGGAAAGATAGAAACATCAATGATGAGAGAGAATCATTGAGTAGCTGCCTCCTGCACGCTCCCCACTGGGGATTGAGCCCGCAACCTGTGCATGTTCCCTTGACCAGAATCGAACCTCAGTCTGCAGGTTGATGCTCTATCCACTGAGCCAAACCGGCTAGGCTGTTTTGTTTTTTACAGTAGCCATCCTGATTGATGTGAGGTGATTATCTCATTGTGGTTTTAATTTTCATTTCCCTAATGATTAGTTGATGTTAAGCATCTTTTCATATTCTTATAGGTCATTTATATATCTTTGTTGGAGAAATACCTAAGTCCATTCCCTTTTATAATCAGGTTATTTGGGGTGTTTTGGTTGTTGAATTATAGGTCTTTATGTACTGTGGATATTAACCCCTTATTTGCATGTATTTTCTCCCATTCTATACATTGTCTTATAACTCTGTTATTGTATCCTTGGATGCACAGAAGTTTTAAATTTTGATGTAGTATAATGTATGTATTTTTTACTTTTGTTGCCTGTGCTACTTCTGGTGTCACAGCTGGAAATCACTGCGAAATCCAATATCATGAAACTTTTCCTCTAAGGTCTCTTCTAAGGAAACATAGTTTTAGGTCTTATAATATTTAGATCTTTGACCAATTTTGAGTTAATTTTTGTATATAGTATAAAGTTAGGGTCCAACTTCATTTTTTTGCATGTGAATATCCAGTTTGGGAAAACATCATTTGTTGAAAAAAAAAATTGTCCTTTTCCCATTCAATGGTCTTTGCATCCTTGATTAAAATGATTGATTATATATTTTTTAAATGTATGTTTGCATTTGAAATATAAGCATACTTAACACTACAGGATGAAATCTGTACAGTATTATACAGAAAAAATACTTTTTTATATGGGAGTAGAAAATGAGAAGAAAGCAAATATTTTAATTGTAAAAAGTTTTCCTTTAAAATATAAGAGTTAGCCCTAGCCGGCTTGGCTCAGTGGATAGAGCGTTGGCCTGCAGACTGAAAGGTTGCAGGTTCGATTCCAGTCAAGGGCATATGCCTGGTTTGTGGGCTCGATCCCCAGTGGGGGTCATGCAGGAGGCAGCCGGTCAGTGGTTCTCTGTCATCATTGATGTTTCTATCTCTCTCTCCCTTCCTCTCTGAAATCAATAAAAGTATATTTTAAAAAATAAAATATAAAAGTTAATAAATATTTAAATATGAGGCTAATCACTAAAGAGTTTCAGATAATTAAAAATACATCTGATTCACGCTTGCTGTACTTTCTTTGAAGTATTTCCAGGACGTATTACCAACTTCTGATCTGCAATATTTCGCAAGTATAGAGTGTAGGGCTAAAGTAAGTTTACAATTGTGAGCACACAAATACAAAGTTTATTCTTGTATTATTATTTATTAATTATTGTATTATTTTCCATATGAATAACTGTAAACCTACTTTTGCCCCACCCTGTATTTTGCATGTTTTTATGAATAAGCTCTTACAATTCTATTTTAAATACTGAAGTCACAATAAAATTAACAACTTAGCATGACTTTCCATTCAACTATTTACTTCTATTTATTTCCTTGGGAGAGTAAGTACAATATAAGGGATCAAGAGAGTTCAATATACAATATGTAAGCTACAGTCCATTTATATCATTTGTCTTCATTTTGATGAAGTAGCTACTGCTATAGCATATAAATATAACATTATCTAACCAATGTTTCTTGTTTTATAAAGGTAACTGAACACAATATGTTACAGAAGTTTTACCAAAGTATATTGCTCTATTATCATATTTCTAATTATCACTTTAAGGGAGCTTCTAAAGGCTCTGTCATTGGGTTGGTTTTAGTCATTAACAGTTTTTATTCCTGTATCCTTTTTAAAAAAATATATATTTTATTGATTTTTTACAGAGAGGAAGGGAGAGGGATAGAGAGTTAGAAACATCCATGAGAGAGAAACATCCATCAGCTGCCTCCTGCACACCCCCTACTGGGGATGTGCCCGTAACCAAGGTACATGCCCTTGACCGGAATCGAACCTGGGACTCTTCAGTCCACAGGCCGACGCTCTAGCCATTGAGCCAAACTGGTCAGGGATATCCCTGTATTCTTTGCAGAAAGTACAAAAATGGAATCATAGGCTCAGGATTAATCTTAAAGCTCTTCTACATTTTATAGGATCAGGAAAGAAGGCTAGGTGGCTTATTCATGTTAACGTACCAGAATGAAGAGCGAAGAGAGGAACCCTGGCTGCCCAACACCCAGCTGGATGCTCTCCCCATGAGACGACGCTGTCTCTAAATAGTTATGCTGCAGGAACCATGTCACTGAAAGTTATCTCTCTTCTCTCTGCTCAAAATTATAGGAAACGTAAAAGGCTTCTTCATCATAGAGTGATTTACTGAGAATATCTGGGTAGAGAAGATGGCAGTATAAATTCTCAGCAAGTCTTAAGTCTACTTGCAAAGATAACTGCCAAGAGAAGACTTACCTTAAATCTATCAATTTCTTCCACTCAGAAATTCAAAGGTTAGAGTAAGAATTGGGGCAGTGGGAACAAAGAGGTCTGCCATGGCCATTTACTCTGAGATCATCTAAATTAAACAATGTCAGAGCCATACCGATGGCCCTTAAGCTTCACATCCCTAAATCAACAAAATGAAAAGAATTCTAATTTAACTGCCATTATTATCTGCTATATCAAGAAAAATAATCTTAATTGCTATGTTTTTTGAAAAGAAACCTTTTGTTACTGATTTTAGAGAGAGAGGAAGGGAAAGGGAGAGAAAAACTGACGTGAGAAGAAAGAAACTCTGATTGACTGCCTCCTGGGGACCAAACTGGTAACCTGGGCATGTGCCCAAAATGGGAATCGAACCGGCGCTCTTTCAGTGCATGGGACAATGCTCAACCACTGAGCAACACCAGCCAGGTGTTGCTATCTTATTAAAATACAAGATTACTCTCACGTGAGCCATTAAGTCATGAAGGACCCAAAGGAGAAGTGGGCAGTGGCACAGCCAGCACTAGAGCCTGGAAAGAGAACAGATGGACAGAAAGCAGAAGGCACCATGACAAACAAATACCTATAAGTACTGGGAAGACAGAGTGGCAGAAAGGCAGGAAGAGTTTAACTTCTTAGCTCCTCACTTGTTGCTTCCTTTCCCAGATCACTACTTAGTTAACAATTCAACTAAGTTGTAGAGGCAGAAAAAGAAAGAAATTATAGTAGACACCGAGTTGGGGAAAACAATGGTTATTAACCTTTTTTATTCTCAGGACCCCTTGACATCTTAAAAATTGAGGACCCCCAAAATTTACTTATATATCTATAGATAGTCACAATATTAAAAATAAAAATAATTACATACAATTCATTTAAAAATAACCTCATTATGTTAATATACTTATTTTTGTGAAAATATTATATTTTCGAAAACAAAAAAAAGTTAGTAAGGACAGTGACATTGTTTTGTGATTTTACAAATGTAAAATATGTCTGACTTCAACTGAGCACAGCTGGTGTGGCTCAGTGATTGAGCATCGACCTATGAACCAACCAGGAAGTCACAGTTCAATTCCTGGTCAGGGCACATGCCCAGGTTGCAGGTTTGATCCCCAGTGTGGGGTGTGCAGGAGACAGCTGATCAATGATTCTCTCTCATCATTGATGTTTCTCTCTCTCCCTCTCCCTTCCTCTCTGAAATCAATAAAAATATATTTAAAAAAATAAAAAGACAACCAGATTCTCAAACCTTATTTATATTCGTCTGTTGCAATTTTGATTGATGTGCATGGCAAAAATATCCAAACTCACAAAGATAGATAGTTGAAAAAGGTAAGAGTATTCTAATAGCCTTTTCAGGCTATTATGAAATGTAATCATCTATTACTACATCAAAACTAGACAAATGATAGCTGCATAAACTTTAGTTGCAATGTAGAACCTGAAAACATATCAATGAACTTTTTACCTTATACTACAGTAAATCCATTGGTCTAGCGTGCACACTGAATGAATCTTTTACTCATGTGTAACTTTATAACTTGCACTGGTCATTGGGAAAAATGCTTGTTCACTGAGTTACACAGATTTTCCAAATGCTAACAGATTTCATCATATAATAGTTTTTAAATCACACACATTAACACCCACTGACCTCATCAGAAATCTTTTAGGCTTTGAGAAGCTGTCAAGCTCAAAGTGGCAGATACTAATGTCCAAACTGTAACCTTCACTTGAAAATTCAATGGTAACAAATATTGTCAGCTGTTCTTGAAGTGACAGGTTACCTCACTCATTTTCAAGAAAATATCTGCCTACTACTGAATAATCAAGTCTGAATAATCATACTTTTTGCCCTTTCTAATAAAAATGTTTCATGAAAAAAAAAAAGCAGCTAGTACAGCTCTCCACTAAAGCCAGTGCACAGGTGTGTTTCCTTCAGAGCCACGAACTTGGTGAAGAGTGTGCTTTGTGTGTGCTTCTCTTTATCACAAAACAGCAAGACAATGTGAAACTCAGGGATTAGGACTGAATAAAATTAGTATTTTTTACACTATATCAAGGACATTCTTAAGTGAAACTGGCTTCCCTTTTTTTCTAACTTAAACAGTAAATGAGGGCAGTAAAGGATATATGACTGCTGGTGTACGTTGGCTCCACAGTAAAAAGATAAATAACATCTTAGTATTATTATGAAAATAATTTTGACATTATGGATCTCCTAAAAGGATCTCAAGAATGCCCAAGGATCCAGGGACCGTAATCTGAGAACTACTTTAAAATATTTTTACTTTTGTGTACTGGCCAGGTGGCTCAGTTGGTTGAGCATCATCCTGTACACCAAAGGGTTCGGTTTTGACCCCCAGACGGGGAGGGTGCAGGAGACAACTGATCAGTGTTTCTCTCTCACATTGATGTTTCTCTTTCTCTCTCCATCTCAGCGGTTCTCAACCTGTGGGTCGCGACCCCTTTGGGGTTCGAACGACCCTTTCACAGGGGTCGCCTAAGACCATGGGAAAACACATATATAATTACATATTGTTTTTGTGATTACTCACTATGCTTTAATTACGTTCAATTTGTAACAATGAAAATATATCCTGCATATCAATATTTACATTATGATTCATAACAGTAGTAAAATTACAGTTATGAAGTAGCAATGAAAATAATTTTATGGTTGGAGGTCACCACAACATAAGGAACTGTATTAAAGGGCCACGGAATTAGGAAGGTTGAGAACCACTGCTCTATCTCTAAAATCAATAAAAAAACATCTGAGCCCAGCAGGTGTGGCTCAGTGGTTGAGCATCGACCCATGAACCAGGAGATCATGGTTCAATTCCTGGTCAGGGCACATGCCCGGATTGCAGGCTCAATACTCACTGGGGGACGTGCAGAAGGCAGCCTATCAATGATTCTCTCTCATCATTGATGTTTCTATCTCTCTGTCTCCCTCTACCTTCCTCTCTCTGAAATCAATAAGAACACATTTTTTTAAAAAAGCATTCTTGGGTGAGGATTAAAAAAAATCTTTAACTTCTGGCAAAGATAGGACCCACTAGCTCCTATATAACATAAATAGCAAAAAATCTAAGCAAAATGAAACTCAAAAATACCCTCTTACCTTTGCCAAGATTAAAGACAAATGGTTCATTTCTATCATGACTGGAATCAAACTTCTTTCCATTTGACAATTTTCCATTGTAATGGACATAAACTTTATCTCCGATCATCGGTGTTTCCTCACTATTCCCCACTCTTTTGACAATCTAAAAAAGACAAACATCAAGAAAAAGGAGGTGGAACTTTTAACATCTAAACAGAGAATGAAAAAATTACAGACCATTTCATATCACCCAGGCAGATTTGCAAATAATTACCTGTCTTTTCTAAATGTTCCCCTCCTAGTTCTCTTAAAAACCTGTACTATTAGAAAATGTCCTATTCTACTCTTAATCTTTAATACTACATTTAATCTTGTTAATAATAACATTGTTTCCTCAAAATAACTTACCAACAGATCCTGCTTCATTGGTTTAATGCTCCCCATGCTTTGACACTAAAATCTCTCAAAACACAGAGCTAGTCCATATACAAACTGAATTAGATAAAAAAAAGATTAGTAGACTTTCAAAAACATTCAAAAAGAAGTCTAAAGCAACGTTCCAAAGGTGAGGTTTTATTTATTCCCTTTGTTAAAAAGATTAGCTTCTGACTAGATTCTACTAGTTTGATTTAATTTTAAAAAGCCCTATTTCCTGGTGTAACAGGTTACCCTTCCTATTATTTGAATATTCAATGTATAAAAACACAGTGTGACTGCAGTTTGTATAATACTGAATAATTTATTTTCTAGTAAAGGAAATGCCAAAAAAACCATCTCCAAGCTACAAAATATTTAGCTATTGTAAAATCCAGTTTATTTATTTTGTTTTTGGCAGAGCAAGCCACTAATGCAATTGGTCAGTCCTGGGAAAAGAAAATCAAATCCAGGCATGTTGTGGTGTAATTTATTCTGTCAATCACCTATGCTAATGTAATCATTTTATTAGATAACAGAGGATGATAGCTAATGTCCCAAGAACATCTTTTTTGGGGAAGGGTCTGAATTTTTATCTAAAGAATTCAATTTTTACCCTAGCCCGGTTTGGCTCATTGGATAGAGCATCAGCCCAAGGACTAAGGGTTCCGGGTTTGATTTTGGTCAAGGGCACAAACCTTGGTTGCAGGTTCCCCGCAGTGATCAGGGTGCATGCAGGAGGCAACCAATTGATGTGTCTCTCTCATATCGATGTTTCTCTCCCCGCCACCGCCTTTCCTTTCACTCTCTCTAAAAATCAATGGAAAAAATATCCTCAGGTGAGGATTACAAAAAGAAAAAAGAGCATGGAGGTTCCTTAAAAAATTAAAAATAGAACTACCAGCAATCCCACTTTTGTATATAAACTCAAAGTAAACAAAATTACTATCTCGGAAGATATCTGCACTCCCATGTTCACTGTAGCATTATTCACAACAGCCAAGCCTTGAAGTGTCCATGGCTAAATAGATAAAGAAGATATGATACACACACGCGCACACATACAGAGGAATATTATTCAGCCATGAGAGAGAAGGAAATCATACCATTGTGACAATATGGATGTATTTTGAGGGCATTATGCTAAATGAAGTAAGCCAGAAAAAGAAAAACACAGTCATAGCCCTAACAGGTTGAATTTTAAAAAGTTGAACTCACAGAAACAGCAAGTAAAATGGTGGTTGCCAAGGGCTAAAGGGTGGGGGATATGGTGAGATGTAAGTCAAAGCATATAAACTTTCAGATATAAGATGGGTAAATTCTGCTCTAACTGGTTTGGCTCAGTGGATAGAGCGTCAGCCTGCGGACTCAAGGGTCCCAGGTTCGATTCTGGTCAAGGGCATGTACCTTGGTTGCGGGCACATACCCACTGGGGGGTGTGCAGGAGGCAGCTGATCAATGTTTCTCTCTCATCAATGTTTCTAACTCTCTATCCCTCTCCCTTCCTCTCTGTAAAAAATCAATAAAATATATTTAAAAAAAAAGATGGGTAAATTCTGAGGATCTAATGTACTGCATGCTGACCATAACTGACAACACTGTATTACATTCCTGAAAGTTGTTAAGTTATTAGAACTTAAACGTTCTCACCACAAAAAAGAAATGGTAATTATATGAAGTGATGGACGTTTAACTAACCCTACTGTGATGACCATTTTGAAACATATAAATATATAAAATCATCACATTCTACATCATAAACTTACATAATGTTATAGGTTAATTATATCAACAAAATTGGGGAAAATAATTATAATTTTAAAAAGTAAATTAAGAGCTACTTAAAAAAATCATTACTGCCCTTCAAGGACTTCATTTTGCTGTGGAAACCTGAGTGATTCCACAGTATCGCTTGCTGGTGTGCGCAGCTATCTGACTCCCTGGTAGCCATTCATCCCATCTGCCTAATTACTTGTTCATGTCCTTGAAATGCAGATTCAAAACTGGTGCAGGGGAAAATGTTAAAAAAAAAATTAACCTAAGAGAAATCACTTTATATTCTAGAAGTGCTCATGTTCATGAACTGCATGCAGTATGTGAGCCTGAGCCCCACCCAGAGGGAATCGGCATTTCCAGGACCCTGAACCAGTAATTGGGCAGATGGGATGAACAGCTACCAGGAAGCCAGATACTATGGAATCACTTCAAGTTTCCACAGCAAGATGATCTTTTACCAAAATCTGGAGTTGCCCTAAAGCAACTAGTCTCAATTCATTTAAAAAGACGTAAGGTCCACAATATCATTTTATCTTCTTTGGCTAGTTACTGACTTCAGAGCTGCCTTGGTCTTAAAATATATATATCTACACTAATAAAAGAGAAACATGGTAATTAGCGTATGACCGCTACCCTTCCCATTGGCTAATCAGCATATCCTTATGCAAATTAACTGTCAGCCAAGATGGCGGCTGGCAGCCATGCACTGAAGCGAGCAGGGAGGCTTGCTTGCTCCAGTGA